ACTACCCGAAGGATGGACATATTTGAAACACGGACTTCGGTGGGGGGGGGAACCAAGGGCAACACACGTAACCTAAACGTATGTACACCCATAATTTGCTGAAATAAAAAAAAAAAAAAAACGCTAAGATGTTGTTCCAGATGTTGACCTAATTTCCTGTATGTACAAATAGGAGTAATATCTTTAAAAGATTCAATTTTTGTTTCAGTATTCTTATCCGAATAAGGATGTGGAATGTAATTTTGTTTCACATATTGGTTCATATTTATCTACAACCTCATTCTGCCTTATTTTCAGTTTGGGTGTCCATTTTGGATTGATATTTATGTTTTAGTGATCTTCAGACTTAAAGGGCGAATAATTACTGCTCTCCACATTTTACAAATAAAACACATCAAGGCACATACAACTTTGTTTTTCCAGTAAAGTACTGCTACAGCCCATCAGACACTGGCTAGACGTGATTCTGCCCAACTCAAGGTCCACACTACACAACTTCTGGTTGCTGGCCCATGTTGTGGCCTAACCAGCCTCATATTTTAGAAAATGTCCCTAATGCTTTCAGAAATGATATTATATAATATTTATACTTTTTGTGATCTTTGTTATTTTCTTTTTCTTTTCTTTTTTACTTAAACTCATGTTTTCTTGACTTAAATTTCTAGATCAGGGGTAGGGAACCTTTTCATGTTGGAAGGCTGCATTAATTTAGCTGTAATCAAATTAAGGCCACATTCAAGAAACTTCAACTAGATAACTTAAAAACGTACATTATTTTGTAAAAATCTAATTACTATGTACTTAATTTCAAAAAATGAAAACTATTTGTTAATTTTAAAGTTAACTAACCTTTTATTCTCTTTGTTGTGTCTGCTTTTTGTTGGAAAGCATTTGAATATTTGGTTGCAGCACTGGAGGTCCGTAGTTGATCTTCTAGATGGAAATCAGTCATTTGTGACCTTAAGAGTGTCTTGATTTGGGTTAGGTAGGAGAATGTAGGTTGGCAGCAATAAGTGGTTAAAAAGCAAGAAAGCATCTTTTGGGCATGTTGCCAAAGGCATGGGTATTCTGCATTTTTCCATATTTCAATTGGATCTTTCTTAGCATCAAACAGTGACTTTCAATTGTCATCTACTGAGAGCTCAATCAATTCCATCTGTAGTTCTTTAGATAGATGCTCTGGTGATATTTAACTAGGTGAGGCTGAGATGCTCATTTGAGTGTGATGTCATGAGTCTCAAAGTAGTGAACCTTTCTTTCATTGTATTCTCCAATTAATAGGTCTATAACAGCTGCATATTCTTCAGATGATCCACATATATCATCCTGCTCTTTAGTGACCTTTGCTAACTGGGGAAAACATCTGAAATTTCTTTTTGAATAAATGTTTTGGAAAAAGATAGCTTTTTTCAAAATGCTTGGATTTTTTGCTACATATCATACATATATAGATGTAGTTTTACCTTGCAAAGAAATATTCAAGTTGTTTGACATGCTGCATTCCTATAGAAATCTTCTTTCAATAATTCACCTGCCTGATTCTGTTCTTCACACAATTCAACTATTTATTCTCGCAGAGATAAAATTTTGGCTAAACCTATACCTGTGATAGCCAACACACTTTAGAATGATAAAGCAAATACACACTGAATACCTCATGGTTCAACATTAGCCTGTTACCAAACAGACCATGCTGTGTTACATTTGCACGAATATAGTTAACAATACTTATAACTTGTTGCAAAGTGCCACTTAAAATAGTAGCTTTAGCACAGAGATTTTGCTGATGCAAGATACAATGAAAAGAAATGAGAACATCTAGATCTGTTAATATTTTTTTTATCTGTGCAATAAACCCTTCATGTTTTCCTGTCATAGAAGATGCACCGTCTGTACATACACTCACTAAATTTACCAAATTCAGTCCAACTTCATGACATTTATCTTGAAATTTGTTGAAGATATCTGTTCCCCATGTTCTGTTCAGAAGAGCGCTCAAAGCAAGTAACTCTTCTTAGCAAAGAAAATCTTCTATTATGACCCGAATGAAGTATAAAACCTGCGCCAAATCAGTAGTATCAATTGATTCATCCAAATTGATTGAATAATATATATTTTCGTTTTGAAGTATTGCATAAAGTTCTTCTGTGAAGTTGAAGTCTAATTCATGCTGCCAATCAGTTTATGGTTCTCCTTGAAAGAGGCAGTTGTTTGTATTAATACTTTGAAAGGTTATCAGGGTCTAAGCATCCTACAACTTCAACAATGCATTCTTTCAGAATTTCTACATCACTGAATGGCTTCCCTTTTTTCCTGAGTATATAAGCTACTTTATAAGTTGCTTCAGTGGCATTATTTCCAGGTCTTATTGCTGCTTGAAAGAATCATCTTTGCTTTTGCTTTTCATCTGTTAATTTCTGCAGTACAACCTTTTGCACATCTACCTCTAATTTAAAATATTTGTGGTCCTTATAAGTGTTACAATGCTCATGAGCATTGAATTTCTTTAATGTAGATATTGCAGTATCATAAAGCAAGCAAATCATCTTATCTTTAGCAGAAACAAGATAATTTTGAAATTCCAAATCCTCATGAAAAAAATCTGTTTTTTTCCTTCAACGTTCTCTTGGTCTTCTTTGACATGATGGGCTGTTAAGCAGACAGAATAAAAAATACCGTTGAGCTGTGCAACTCTTCAGTAATTCCACTTCAAATAGAAACGCAGTGCACCATTGTCAAAAGCTGATAACAGACTGGTGTACCCGACCCCCACAAACTCTGCCAACCAGCCCGGTGTGGTAGTGGCACCAGTCAGGCAGGGAAAGTTAGAACTAAATCATGAGCGTAGCAGCCATCAATTTAGCCATTACGGCTTATTAATGTTCTAATTGTGCTGGCCAGTCTGGGAGGATTATTTCATTGAAATTTATTTTGTTCTTTGGTATTTTAAATATGTTCACTTAAAAAATAAAAATGTAAAAGACAAAAATGTATTAATAAAAGGATTTGTTATGTAAAATTTGGATTCAGTCAAATGGCCACACTTAAGGACCTAAAAGGCCACATGTTCCCTACCCCGGTCTAGATGTAAGTTTGTTGTCTATTTGCCAGTATGTTCCCAGTATACATCATAACACGTTCTTTGAGAATGTCATATAAGTATTGATTTAAGAACATTTTTACTCACAAGTACTAAAGAGCTATATAAATTGAAATGTTTTCACAGTACATTTTGAAAATATTCAAAATAATAGTGGAAATGGTACCTATAGTTTCATTAAAAGAATGGATAATATTTGGTAATCTTTATTTTCTTTAGGGTTTAATGAAGAAATTTATTCGATGTTCTACACGTGTAACTGTGGGAACTATTAAAAAATTTCTAAGTTTAAAACTAAAACTTCCAAGTTCTTATGAGGTAAGTTAAATAGTATTTAACTTTGATCATTTTGATAATTCTGATCTGCAGTAAAATTCTAACAGAAGAAATGAAAATTAACTGAGAATATATTCAAATTAATTTTTGTGGTTATTTTCATGGTAAAATTTTAATTTTAGAATGTAATATTTATGTAAATGTGTTTTCTGATTTAACATATCCTGAGTAAAATATGATACTAATACATTGTTTTTTATAACTAGAAGAGATATTTAAAGAATTTAACATTAAGTACTCCCAAAATAAATATACCAGCTAAATGGATTTTTTTTTTAATAGCAGTATGCTTTAGGGTGTTTCATTTTTTAGCTGAGATCTTTGAGATCTGTTATTGCTAATTCTTTATAGACTTCTTCAGAATGTAAAACATCGTCTTTTTATCAAAAGGGATTTCATAAATAATATAGTTCCATGATATGCAAAAGTGATTTTGTTTAGCACTAGGTAAAACCAACATAATACATTTGCATAAATGCGATTTACCAGTATTTACAGGAGAGGTAAGTTACCCTGATTATCAGTCACAGCATAGTTTATAACGTGCTCAACGTTCAGAGAATGTTTATGATCCTGGGGTATGGCTATAACCCAGTGAGGAAGTATGGCTACTATTTCTCACCTGCACAAATGGCAAAATCTGACAACTTTTATTAATTTCTTCTTTCTCCCCTTTTGGTTCTGATGGTAGCATCTAGAACTTTAAAGACCAGGACTAGTTTCCTAGATAAACAGAGACATCAAAGGCAGCATAGTTTTTCATGCTTATCTGCAGTAATATGAATATCATTAAAGGGTCATAGGAGAAATAAAATGTGATAGGATTTGAACGTAGACATTGGCAGGCATTAAGTCAATATTTTAAGGAAGCATCTGTTCCTGAACTTATTTGAAAATTTCTCTCAGATGACTAGTCTATGGATTAAAAATTTTTATTATTTTGGTCCTACAAATATTAAAAAAAATTCAGAGACATCAACTTTTGTACTAGGAAAAACTTGTGAAAGTACAAGGTGAAAGATTTACTTGTTTTTGAAGAGAAACCAGAGTAAAACTTGTGAAAGTTAAGCATCAAAACCCAATATACTTGGTAAAATTAAATAATAACAACAATGTATAAATACAACTACAAACTAAAAATTATTTGGTTTTGCACTTTATTTTCTTCTTGCAAAATACCATGTACAGTTTTTTTTTCTTTTAAGTCTGATTCTTTAGGTTATCATTTTCTAGCTTTTAGGAAATTGTTAGAGCTAAGAGGACTATTACTCTCCTACTGTCTTACTTCTGGCATACATTACATTTCTCTGTAGACAAAGATGGAAGGGGAAGAGACTCAATCCACAGACATCTCGTTATCTATCTCAGTGCAAAAAACGTTGCCTAGGATTTTTGGGATTATTTATCAGTTCCCGCTTTATTTTGCTGCCCAGCATGCAGAGGGGTGATTTAATGAAATACCTGATAGCTGAAGCTTCTGTAACAGCACTGCTAATTCTGGCAAGATGTTTTAGTTGTTAAAGGACAATAAAAAAAGCAATATACCTGATTAGTAATTGCATTCTAAAAGTCCCTTTACTTCTCTGCTTATGAATTTATTTTACAGACAAGATAAAGAAAATGAAATTATCTACTTTGTTCTTTTAAGAGTTAATGATGTCTGAAAAACTTTTTGACGTCCATATAAGTCACTGTAAATCATTAAAAAATCAATAGTTTTATGTCTCTAATATAATTGGAAGCATATTCCTTAAAGTTCAAAATTGTAATCTGTCTAGCCAGACATTGTTTAAATAATTCTAGTTAGAATTATTTAAAACCCATCTTTACTCCTCTCCACACTTCAAATGAAATCTTACCAGTTCGTTTTTAATAGCTAGAGAACTGAAATGTTATTTTCTTTATCTCTGATAAACACTTGTTTAATTAAGCTTTGTTGAATTTGTGAATTATAGCCACAGTTCCTGTGGCCTTCTTAAGGATTTGGGGGTTGTTTGGTTCCTGTGACTTAGAGCAAAAGTGAGCATTGATAAGTACAACCCTCTTATGATGTTTCATTCAGGGTGGGAAGAGGATTCTGTAGTATTGTGCACGTTACCAAGCAAGTGAACCAGAGAGGCCAGATAGCCCTAGGAGACACAGGCCTGTGTATCAAATTAGCTGTTAGTAATTACTAGAAATTCCCATATACCCCAAATACCCCATAAATCACTGTATCCACATTAATTCATTTCCCTTTTCAAATCCAAACTAATGAAAAGAAAACAACCCCTTCAAATCTTGGGAAGATTAAAGAATTCTTAGAGATGAATTCAGAAACTAAGGAGCTGTGAGGAACTATGAGGTTGCTGCAGTTTCTTCTCATTCAGTAAAGGGCAATCACAGAAAATACATCTAAAACCTCTAAGGTAACAAAGAGACGTGGACTAAGAAAGATTACATTGCATTTATAAAGTATGTGTGTGAACTTGAGATACAGGTATGTGGGACAAGATAAACAGTGCTTCATGCTACTTATGTCTGAATTGTTAATACTTTATGAGAAGGACCAGGGCTTTCAATAAAAATGTTCAGTTCTATTCAAATAATGGATAATACTTATATTTTGTAGTAACTATTTGCATTTTTTTGAAATCTGAAAATGTAAAATATTTACAAATTCAAACTTATTTGTGTTAATGGATCTATAACTTCTTTTTAAAGTTGGATGTGCTGTGCAATGGTGAAATTATGGGGAAGGATCATACTATGGAATTCATCTACATGACAAGATGGCGACTAAGAGGCGAAAACGTAAATTGCTTTTATATTTACCTATGTGTATAGTTATATACCATTATGTTACTCAAATTTACCAATATTACTTAAGAATTAAAAAGGCTAGTTTGGAAAGGAGAAGAACTGGTTCTTCTTCTTATTGTTTCTCCCAACACTCTGTGAAAATTGGTCCCAAGTACAAGACCAAGGTTTGTGTTAAATGTGGTTTTGTTATACTTAAGGTGAGATTAAAACCTCATCTAAATATCTTCAGGGCTCTGTTAACCTCAAGACAGAAGATGAGATATTTTTAAAAACCCAATAAACTGTTAGAACTTTTAATATATGGAGTGTCAGTGGGGAGACTAAGTTCTGCCCTGACTAGTCTGATTAATGCTTGATAACAGTATTATTTTTGGTTGTGATAGAGGGGACAGATAGGGTAAAAGCTAGGTAATCTTTTTACAGGTACCTCCTTTACATTGACAGTATAAAATCGGACCAAAGGGTAAGTGAGTTTGCAGTGGTTTCTGATGCCAGAATTAGATTATTGTGCCTTAGGCCCTAGGCAGTATGGGAGAAATGATTCAAAGGAGAAAACCCAAAAGGAGAATTTTGTATTTTGAACTATATCTTTGATTATGGTTAATTCTATTAATGGGTTCAAGCATGTCTAAATTATAAGTAACATGGGATGTCAGGGAATTTTGAGGCACTAGGGATTACAGGGTTGATGTATATATAAGAGTAAGGAATATAGTAGTAATGCTACCAGAAATTCTCATCATAATGTGAGTGCATGAAAAAAAAATTAAGATTTTGTGGATTTTATGGTACAATATGTGATACTTTTAGAGTGTAATTTCTCTATTCTGTAACCTAGATTTTATTACATTATCTCAGGAAAATATAAATTATAAAAAATAAACTAAGAAATTTAACCTCACGTAAGGATAAGTAATATAGAATCCAAATATATTGAGGGTTGCCATGTTACAACAGCTCAAGAACATACTTACATTGAATGTAAACATCTGTGGAACTATTATAAAACTTAAAAAATGTCCCACTTGGATAACGCCTGCCTTCTGAGGCTGAATGTGCCACTAGCGGAAAGAACTGAAGAGCAGGAGAAACATTTACATTATAGGACCAGTCACCGCTAGCTGTGTGCCCTTGAATAACTCATCAGACACCTTTGGGGCTCGTATTTTTAAAAATCTAATTGTCTTTGTATTTGGTAAATTACTGGACTTTCTGTGCCATTTTATAGTTTTTTAAATAGTTGTACATACATCACCCTCATTTAATCCTTATAACCAAAATGTACCAGGTACAAATTGCAGAGATAGTAAATTCTCTCTTACCCACCACTATTGATGAGTGAATATTAATTACAGAGTATTGTATTGAATATAATTTTAGCTTTCCTTGATAGTGGCCACTTCAGTGTGTGTCTTAGTGCTTGAAATCATCATGAATAGGTTTGCCTTAAGGTTAAGGAGATGTCAGTGCTCATCCACTGCAAAACCTCTGTCTGCTAGTGCTTACTTGTCCTTTACAAGATCCTTCCCCACAGTTGCTCACACTGCCACTTATCTTAATGTATGAAAGTATCTTAATGTATTAAAGTATGAAAGAGCTAATTCACAGAAATTTTTATTAATAAACCGAGTTAAATCAGGCTTTATAGTAATTACATTTCTGATTACACATTTCTGAAAAGTTTAAATTCCTTGGTTGCTTAAGGCATATTTTAATAAAAGTTAGTTCAAAAAGTGATTCAATACCGTAGGGTTTGTTTAGTTGTTCGTTGCTGAACTAAACCAATAAACAGTAAAATAATGTATTAGCCAGCGCATTTCATTTTTTGGCATGACAAACCTGTTTTGGGGTTGCTCTCCCTCTCCAAACCTGTGTTCCCCTCAGTCATCAAAATCTCAATAGTTCTGAGACTGGTAGCTTCATTTTTCCAGTTGTTCACACCCAAGTCCCTGAAGTCAGCCCTGATTGCTTTGTCTTTCATCTGTCCTTAGCAAATTCTGTAACCTCTACCATCAAAATGTTACAATCAGAATCCAGCTATGTCTCACCACCTCCACTTCCCCACTCTGGTCCAAGCCACCATCGCCATTCTCCAGAATTACTGTGAAGTCTCCTAGCTGGGCCCCCACCACAACCCTTGCCCCACCTGCTGTCTTCACCCTGCACAGCAGCCAGGGTGATCCTCTACAACAGGTTGAAGCACTCTGCTCTCCGGCTCTGATTCCTCCAGGAATGCTTAATATCATTTAGATAAAATCCAGAGTCCTTCCAGAGACCCCTAGATACGGTTTCCCCATATACCTCTCTGACCTCACCATTCACTCCCTCCCTTGGGCTCACAGCACTTCAGCCACACTGGCCTCTGTTCCTCCATGACCGCTTGCACTCGCCTCCCCAGGTATCCACCTAACGAGCTCCCTTTACCCACTTCACTTAAATGATTTTACTTCTAGTCACCTTCTCAGTGAGGCCTCTGACCTCCCTTAAAATTGCAACGCCCCCCGCCCCCAGTGGCATTCTTAATTCTTTTCCATGCCTTATTGTGTTCCATAGTATTTCCTACCATCTGACCTACTATGCCTTTTATTTGTATGTTTGTCCCCCAAGTAAAATGTAATCTGAGGACAGGGACAGCAGACTCTCTGCTGAATCTCCACCACTTAGAGCAGTGCCCAGCACATATACTCAATATTTGTCTTTTATAAGGTAATAGTTATGCAAAATATATCCTAAAAATAATTTTCACTTATTTGAATCCCAGTTTCCTGTTTGATTTCTGTTAAACAAATTTTTGCTCAGGTTCCAGTGAATTATCATACTTTTAATTGGTGGATTCTGACAGTTGCAGTGACATGCACAAATGCGGCAGTAGCAGTAAAACAGTGATTTCTTGACTAAGCCCCCCGCTAGCGTGTTTATTGCAATCACATCCCTTCACCCCTCTGCCCATTGCCAGCAGGATGCCAGGGTGTCCAAAAAGCTCTTATTACTCCATCTACTGGCTAAGTAGCTCTGCTGTGGGCTGGGCTGGGGTCAGCTTGTTTCCTAAACCAACGATCACCATGTGGTTCTTTCATTTGCTTCTAGTCCTTTTTTATGGTAAACATTTTAATCCACCTGGGATTGATTTGTTTACACACACACAAGGATAAGACTAATTTATTCTAAGATGTCACCATTATCTGTGCAGATATGTATATCCATATGCATATATACCTTTGTGTATATATGTCCCTGGACATTGTTTTGTTCTTTTGAGCAGGTCTTTTTCTGTACCAGCATTACACGTTATATAGTATAGCTTTTATAAAAATCTGACCACATAACACCCCTGTCTAAAATCCTTCAACTGTCCATTTTCTTTGGGATAAGTTTGGATAAAGTCCAAACATGTCTTAGAAGGCAAATATTTGGGCCTTCTAGGTTGCTTTATGATATGTATTAATACCTGTTAAGGCAAAATCTCCTATTATCCTTTTCTGAATTGTGTTGGCTACTTTTACACATTTTTCTTCCAGATAAGCTTTAGAATGAGATTGTGACTAGCATTAGATTAGATTTCTAGACCGATTTGGCTGAAATTGGCATGTTTGCAGTTTTTTTATTCTATTTGATACTATGGGATGTCTCTTCATATGTTCCATACTCTTCTATCTCTGAGTAAATCTGTGGTTTTCTTTCCTCTTCATATTGGATCCCACCCTCTGCCCCTGAGTCTTTTGCCTCGGACAAGTCTGCTCCATATTCAGATCATTCATTTACCTTGTCCTATTTCTAGCATCCTGCGAAGAATCTCAGGGAAATTGATTTTGCCTCCATTTCTCAAGAATAGTGGGATATCTCCCTGCACCATACAGGGAGATACCTGCCTTCCTGTATCCTGGGGCATTTCCATTCAGGCTGAGCTTGTTTTCTATGGTCCCTGCCCTTTCTATACCCTTATCTCTGGGATGATGCATTTTTTTAAAGATTTTTATCTTTAGGAATCAAAACAAACATGTATTCAGACTTAGAAAGTTTTCAGTTCATGACAGTATTGCCACCGCAAGATTCTATACTCAAGGTTGGCATTTGCTTATTAGTAGGAAAAAATGTACCTTAAAAAAAAGCCCATTACCTCTCAAAATTTAATGCAAATACAGATCATCTGGGATCTTGGTAAAATACAGATTCTGACTTAGTAGATCTGGGATGGGGCCCAAAATACTGCATTTCTGTCAAACTCCCAGGAGATGCCAGTGCATCTGGTCTTTGGATCATCCTTTGAGTTATAGCAAATGTTATCTGTGACTGCTGACTTACCATGTGGCTTCCACGTCTATACGTTGAAGGTGTGGAATTAAAGGATCAGATCTCAGTTTGGAAGGGATTTAGTCACCCAATCTGATCATCAGTCTAATACTTGGAACCTCTTTATAATATTCATGCCAGGGTCATCACATTTTTGGAACATAAGTAAATCATATGTATTGTTCTACAACTTTTTCTTGATAATATGTGGAGAATCAGTAAACTTAGAAACAATTCTTTTAAACACATTGATAGTATTCCATTTGTGTGGCTGTAGCATAATTTGATTAACTCATTCCTTTGGTGAACATTTAGATTTTTTCAAATTTTTTTTAACATTATAAGCAATGCTATGTACATATTCCAATACATATATCTTTTTGCACGTGTACAAGCATATCTATTGGCTAGATTCCTTGAAGTGGATTTATAACACAGTATGCATGTTTTAAATTTTGATAGATACTAACAAATTTCCTCTAAAGTCTTAGTCATTTAAAATCATGCTAATAATGTATGAGTGTCCATTTTCTGACATCCTTACCAGCACTGTATGTTATCAATTTTATATTTCTTTAGTGAATATTTTTTCATATTCATTGCCTTTTTTTCCCCCATCATAATGCTTGTCTTTTCATATTGACTTCTAGGAACTCTATGTATTCTGAGTATGAATCTTTCGTTATATATGTTGCAGCTATTTTCTTCCAGTTGTGTCCTGCTTTCTAGTTTTGCCTCAGCTTTTCGATCCTTGAAATTTGGGTAACAATACCTGTCTTGGAAAGTTTAGTAAGAGTTAATATTACATACTGAAGTTCTTAGCAGAGTGCCTGACATAATAAATATTATTTAACTCCTTATGTATGCTAACTTTCATTATGATAATTTTTTCCTCTTTTATTTACTTAGTTCCATCCCTGAGAGCTTACTGTCAATATCTCTACTTAGCCTCAGCTTTCATCATTGATTTATGTTCTTTCTGCTTACCTTTTCGTGTTCAGATTGAGTGCCCACTCTCAGTATAGCACCCTTTGCCCAGATCATCCTGGTTGGTTTTCTCTCTTCCCACAGCCTCTGCCAGTCCAGCACCTAAAGTTACTGCACCAAGCTTGTCTTCCTTTGCTCTGTTTGTATCATCAGGCAATTTTAGGAAAAGCAAATATATCCATCTTAACTGATACCAAAGAGATTGATAGAAAAAAAAGAATCACTTAGTGAAATTGCCTCTTTCACCTTAACTCTTTACTCTCGTTGAATGCTATTTGGGATTTGCATCATTAGCAAAGTCTGATATAGACCAGCACAGGGGGCCTCTTCAGAGAGAAAGGAGAAGGTTGGCCAAGGATGGCAGTGCTGGGCATTCCTTACAGCATGTTGATGAGCACTGTGCACGAAATCAAGGACTAACTTCTAAAGAAAAAATTGCTAAAGTCTTTTGGGGAAATACAAAATTTCTAAAATTTTATTTAAAAGGGTACAAATATTGTCTTAATCATTGCTTGCTTAAATAATCTTTCAAAGTATGTCTTTAAAAACCTACTCTGGGATGTTAGAATCATCCTGATAAATGTATACCTCACATTTTTTATGTACTTATTTTTTTCCATTTTGAAGAGTATGCAATGTTGAATTCATATATGCATAATTTTAAAGTATACATTTTATGTTTTATAGTCCCATTACAATTAAAATTATATTTAATAAGTGTTTAGCATACTATTAAAAAATTAAGATTTGGAAATGATTTTTTTTAATGTGAATGGTTAAACTGTTAGTGGGTTTACAAATCAATCTACTCAATAACTTTAAAATATGTTCCCTCGCCGATTTACCCATAAAACATTTACGGAGTGGCCACTGCATGGCAGTTCTGGGCCTTAGCTACTAAGACTGCACATATGAATAAAATATAGGTGTAAGGAGCTTGCAAAATATGAAGAACCTAATATACAACAGAAAACGGATCCCTTAGAGGTTGAGCAAAGTTCTGCGCCTCTCTCAGAGCACTGATCTCCTTGAGCAGCACTTCTTTCAGGGGGTAGCTGAAAAAGAGATCTAGAAGAGACTGATCACAGGAAGGGACAGAAGAAAGAGGGTGCCACTGTGTACTCAAGAAGTAAGGGTTTTCCTAGGAATTGGGTGTTTTCAGAATATTAAACAGAACTCATATCTAAATGCTAAAATTACTTCAAGCTAAACTTAACCAATCAGTAAGTTTTTAAAATCTATATTTTTTCAAAAACTACTACCATATTCTTGGAAAGTGTTTATTTAAAATTAGCATGTTGACTCTTATGTTTGACGTTAAAATATTTTAAATCAGTTTTAAATATGTATCCAGTTGTGGATGCCTCTTATCTGATGAGTTCATCTCCTCCGCAGTTTCGGTGTCTGAACTGCTCAGCTTCGCAAGTCTGCTCTCAGGATGGCCCTTTGTATCAGGTAAGAGGCACTCACGACTGTACATATGACCATCATGATGCCATGACGGTGATTGCTCTCATCCCAAATTCAAGTTTCTAAGACATTTAAAACTTTGTAAAACTAATAGTTATTTGAGCTACAGAAACTTATCTTTTCAATTTATATCCCCAAAGTTTCCCACTATTTTAGTTTTCCTGAATTATCTAATTTTACTGAACTAAAAATAAAACTGTAAATGTTAAGGCCATTATTTACCAGTTAGGAATTTTCAATAATTACTAGTTTCAGCCCTTGAGAAATTTCTGCTCCATATTGGATTGGGATGTTACCTTCTTTGTTTAAATCTTATTATTTTTTAATGAATCATTCATCCACAAGGGAAATATAAAATGCCAAATTAGGTGAATCTGAATAACAGCAACAGATAATTCAAATTGTGAGCCTGGTTACTAGGCCATACCTTAAGTAATTTACTTGAGTTAGCTCTTAATGAAATGATAGTGACTCTCTTTAATAATGTACTGAGAAAACTTGAACATGTATCAGAGAGAAGTTTAATAAAAAACATTTGAAAACTTTGGGAAATAGAGACTAAGGTATAGTAATGATTATTGTTGGATACAGAGATGATTGATGATCATCTTTAATCCTGTGGATTAACCATAGCATTTCTTTAAAATATCCATTGTTCTTTTATCTCAATAATTAAAGTAGGCTTCATCCTTATTTCTTTGGAGCCAAGAAGGAAGGATTGTAATTACGTAACAAACTTAACTAGCAAACTTACCTCCAGTGTTACAGTTTGGGGGCTGGAACACGTGAATCACCTCAAATTAGTAGTTGAAAATGTTTACCGAACAGTTTATCTAGAATTTCGTTCAGTCTTTTTGTCAGTGCTCTGTGGGATCTCCATGCCCTTATTAAAATGTGAGCTTTTTGATACACGTTGTTTAAGTCATAGTTTTTCAGAAATGGAGAGTGTGAATTTAACATTTATAAAGACCAAGAGAAAATCGTTGAAAGAGAAACATCATTCTTCTTACGTTAAATAGTTTAACCAAGCTGGTGATATTTGTGTATATCTGAAATACATAGATATTTCAGCTGCTTTAGCCTCATAGCTGATTTTGGAATGATGAATTATAGTGACCCCTGCCTGTAGCTACAACCCATACATACACAGCTTTCTGCTTTTACTCTTGGTATTGATGTCTGTGTATTTCCTTAGAAATGACGATGTCCTTAAATCATGACCCAAAGTATTAGAGAACAACTGGAATAAGACCAAATTTCCAAATCCACACAGATTTCCTTTTCTTTCTTCAACACTTCATTAATAGATTGAACTTAACAGTTAGTAGGATGCATCCTTAACTTCCTCAAAAGGATACCTAGATGATTTTATGGTCACATTCTCTCAAATTTTCAAGGAATGGATCATTCCAATGCTATACATATTGTTTTACATTATTGAAAAAGATGGAATTTCCCCAAATTTATTTCACTAAGGTAGCGTAAACATGACAGCAAAAACTGGCAGAAAACCCACGAGACAACTAGTACCATCTTTCATTTTGAATACAAATGGAAAGATGGTAAATAATATACTAAAAGAAGAATAAACCAATACCTAATAGTATTTTTTATCAGAAATGAAAGAATAGCTTAATATTGAGGGATATTGAAAAATATATATTATAAACATTTTATATACACACATCAAAAATCATCAGATGTTGAAAAGGCATTCAATAAAATGTTAAGTCCTGATTTTTTTTTCCTGCCAGCTCATTTTGAAATATTTTTTTAAAAAATTGAAATTATACAAAGAAATATCCTTTACCTTTACCTAGATTCACCGATTTAACATTTTGCTACATTTTCTGCCACCTCTTCCCTTCCCTTCCTCCTCCCCATATATATATATATATATATATGTATGTATGTATGTATATATACACACACACACTTTTTGGGGGGTAGAACCATTTGAAATTAAATTGCATGTATCAGGTCAGTTAACCACTAAATACTTCAGTTCTCCCCACAATTAAATTGTGAAGTTAAATGTAATTCCAAACACACTTTACCAGATTCTTGTTAAACTTGACAAAGTCAGTCATTCTAAAGTTCATCAGGAAATACAAACAGGTGCTTCTTTGGTCAGTCACATTTTTAAAAAGAGTAATGACAAGGAATATGCACTGTCACATACTAAAATGTATTTTAAAGTAATACTATCTTAAACATAAACTGTGAACAAAAAGTATAGCTCAGGAACAGACTCTAGTATGTATGAGTCTATAAAAAGTATTTCAAATTAATGGAGAAAAAAGATTCATCTAACAAATGTCGATTGAACATTTAGTATGTGTTGGGCACTCTTCTTAGGTCTTTGGAGATACAATGAACACAAATCTTCTCTCCCATGAAACTTACATTCAAAGAGCAGTAGCAGGCAAAAAATAAATGAGTAAAATTTATAATGTTGAAGAAAAAGTAGATAAATAGAATATTTTTGATAAGACAGCCAAGGGAAGGCCCCTTTGAGATGGTGATTCTTGATCAAAATAAAGTGAGAGCAGTTGCCTTGTGACTTTCTGGCATAGAGCACTGAAGGCTGGGGGAACACACTGCAAAGGTCCTCAGATTATGTCTAGTTGTTTGAGAATTGCAAGGAGACCAGTGGGGCTGGAGCTGCGACATTGCAGGAGGAGGCAGGTGGTCATAGTGCACTCAGAAATGGAAGCGTAGCGGGTGAAATACAGATCTAGTAGGGCTTGCTTTCGGTTAACGGTACTGAGACTACTGTGGTGGGGGTATTCAATCTACAACTCACATTTATACATCAGTGTCAGTTTCTGATGGCTTAAGGTGGTAAATATTTAAAACAATACCATAAAAGATCAAGAAGAAAATACAATTGAATAACTGATCTCAAAGTATGGATGGCCTTTCACATTTTACTTACTACAATACGATTGTTCATATTGAAAAGTACATGACAAAAAATATCATAGCTAAGGAAATATTTGTGACATATGACAGAGGAAGACTTAATGCCCTTAATAAAGAATTTATATAAATCTGTTAAGAAAAAGCCCACCATTCCATAGAAAAATGAGCAAAGGACATGATCAGGAAAGATACAAAAGAAGGAAACACAATTGGCTGATAAGCATATAAAAATGGTTAACTTCTATAAAAGTCAAGGAATGAAAAAAGAAAATACCATTTTTATGCTTATTAAATTGCCAAATTAAGAGGGAGAAAGGATGGTACTTATAGAGGAATGGGCAAGTTTCTTTTGAAAATGTAAAATAGAACAACTTTCTTGAAGACCAGTGTAATAGTATTTATCAAAAATCCTTTTAAAATGTGTATGCTTTTTGAACCAGCAGTTTCACTTCTAGAAAAAAACCTACCCTGGAGGGAAAGAAATAGGTCACTGGGTATAATAGCAAAAAAATAAACTCAAATGTACAGCAAAAGGAGACTTATTGATAACTATGGTTCATTTCTATAACAGCATAATATACAGCTATTAAAAATTACATGGTGGCACATGCCTATAGTCCCAGCTACTCAGGAGGCTGAGGTGAGAGGATCATTTAAACCAGCCTGGACAACATAGCAAGACCCTGTCTCTGGAAAAAAAAAAGAAAGAAAGAAATTAAATAGGTTTTTAAAAAAGTATTCCTCTGTGCTCCAAATTAAAATCTGCCTCTGAAACTCTTTTTTAGTTATCGTGTAGGACTATATTAAATCATGTGTAAATATGTTTATGGAATTTCTAAATGGACAAAGTTTTTAAATGGTACAGATGTTTAGCATGATTTCAGTTTTGAAAAAACAAATGTAGATAAAATGACTAGACAAGTATACACTAAAATTATTATGGGAGTTAACTTTGGATGGTAGAATTTAAATAATTTTCCTTTTTTCTTGGTGCTTTTCTGTATCTTCCGAATCTATAGTAAAAACAAGTTACTTTTATGATAAAAATAAAAAACTTTAAGGAAAAAAGTATAATATATCAAAGACAGTTTTACCATTTTCTAAAATTATCACATTTGAAATGTATTCTTTGGAAATATCTGTTCTTTATTTTTATTACTATTGAGGACTAGAAAGCATGAACTACAGGTCCATTTGGTGCAGTCCCTTAACACTAAGAGGTAAAGGTCGATCATATTTCATTACAGTGAGCGCAGTGCCATTTTACTTCAGAAAGCAAATCCAAACACAAATAGAACTTAAAATATATCTTAACAATTTTCACTGTTGTGACACATTTCAATAAAATTATTAAACTTCATATGTTCTTATAGAACAAACACAAATGGTTACTTGGAGAGGAAAACAAAATTATTTTTAGCCAATCCCAACCATTGTCAATCAAGCCATTTTACTTCCCTCTGTACCTTCATGGATGGATGAATGGATGGTGGATACTTTTATATAAGATTAATGTATTCTAAACGAGTGACTTAATTATTTGCAGAAAGTGTGCAAATTCAACAGAATCAGGAATCAAAAGCAAATCCAGAAAGATTATGATAGTGAAGGCAAGCTGCAGGTTGAGTGAGGTAGAATGGAAATTAATAAAGACATCCAGGATGTCTGTTAGTGGTCTCAGAATCTGGCTGGGCTTCAGAAACATTTTACTAAACACAGAGTTTAGTAAAGTACACACTTCTGTGTCCCGCTCTCAGATAATCTGATTTGGAGGGGACTGAATAAAGTTTAAAATAAAAACAAGAAACAGAATAAAACCAAAGTAGTTTTAGACCATAGAAAACCTGAGAGACTAAGACTTTTACCCAGCCCTTAGAAAGCTGGAAGTGACATCTGCTGTACTACTTCACCTGGGAGAGCGAGACCTAGGGCACTTGTATTCCTACCCTCTAGTCCCATCCTGAGCTGAATGGTAAAAGAGATTCCAGCCTTGAGTCTTCCCAGTTTGTAGCATAGTTGTGATAAGCACTGAAATGGTCATTTTCAGGATTGTAGAATCTCAGTCTATCCCTTTTCATCTGTATGAAAAAATAAAAAATTCTCTGTACTACGTTTTTGTATTCATCTATACTAAGATGGGGAAACATTAGTCGTTGGCCATGTCAGCCCTTTCTTGGTTCCATAAAAGTAGCTCCGCAAATTTTGTTTTAAAAGCAAAATTTACTGTTAAAATTTACATGATCATTAAAACTTTCTTTTGATTGCCATTATTTTTCTAGAATCAGTCAAGTTTTCAATGATATGCAGCACAGGTCAAGTTCAAAGACCTTCAGACATCATATCGGTCTTGTACGTTACTAGTACTAGTGCAACAGGTTAGGGATAGGCAGGCCTATGGGGAACTGAAAGTTACATGCCCTGCTTATAGGCATTCAACTAGCAGCCCTGTGAGGCTGAGCAAGACAAGTCAGCAGGCTGGACTACATCAGAGCTTCTGCTAGTGAGACCCCTACTGGGAATCTATGAAACTGGAGTAGTGTTCACAAATCACATTTTTTACAAGTTTGATACTGTTCTTTCTTTTTAATATTAAAATTTATTTTAATAGCCCTTTAAAAAATGTTGAAAAACAAGTAGCTACTTATTACATGAAATAAAGGGTTGATAACTAGAATCTATATAGAACTCAGGAAAATCAACAAGCAAAAAAACCCCATTAAAAGTGGGAAAAAGACATAAACAGGACCTTTTCGAAAGATGACAGACTAATGGCCAATAAACATGAAAAAATGCTCAACATCTCTAATCATCAGGGAAATGCAGATCAAAACCACAATGAGATATCACTTAACTCCAGTGAGAATGGCTTTTACCAAAAAGTCCCAAAACAACAAATGTTGGTGTAGATGCGGAGAGATAAGAAAGAACACTCATACGCTGCTGGTGGGACTGCAAATTAGTAGAACTTCTGTGAAAAGTAATTTGGAGATACCTCAAAGGACAAAAAGTAGAGCTACCATTTGATCCAGCAGTCCCACTACTGGTATTTACCCAAAGGAAAAAAAGACATCTGCACTCGAATGTTCATAGCAGCACAATTCACAATTGGAAAGATGTGGAAACAACCCAAATGTCCATCAATACACGAGTGGATTAATAAAATGTGGTATACCATAGAGTACTACTCAGCCATAAAAAAAATGATGAATAACCCTTTTGATTATCCTGGATGGAGCAGGAGCCCATTCTTCGAAGTGAAATATCACAAAAATGGAAAAACAAGCACCACATGTACTCAACCATTAAATTGGTACTAATTGATCAACACTTACGTGCACAGATGGAAGTAACATTCATAGGGTGTGGGCAGGTGGGGGTGGGGACGAGTAAAGTCACACCTGATGGGTGCGGTGCACAATGTCTGGGGATTGGGCACATTTGTAGCTCTGACTCAGGCAGTGCAAAGGCAATATATGTAACCAAAGCGTTTGTACCCCCGTAATATTCTGAAATGAAATAATGAAATGAAAAAAATTATCCTGGTATTATCACTAGGACCAGGAAATATTGTAAATTATAACCCTAAACTCTTAGAATCTTTTGTATATAAACTGTATTGTTTTTATATAAATAGTCTTATCTATCTGTCTTTATTTTATAGTCATACCCTATGGTATTGCAGTATCGACCAAGAATTGATTTCGGTTAGACCAAGGGGCACAAATCTCTGAGATGAATCCTGCACTGTTTACTCGTCGACAGATTGCACAGTTAATGGTGTGTGGACTAGAAGGACACAACCAGATTTTCAGCATGCAAATAAGGCCATTGTCTATCTCTAAATTGTCAATTACATTTATGTTGTTTCTATTAAGAGCAAACCAAGTGCCATTCTGCTACTGAACCGTCTGCATAGGGTATTTGTGCTGTCTCACAGTGTGCAAGTCCTGGCTGAAGTCAGTTAGGTGTGCAGCCATGATTCAGCCTTCTGAATATTTTGCTTGCCTGTTCCAAGATTGTTCTAATGTTTAATTACACTAGTTAAAATGGCTCAATCTTTGTGGTGTTGCAGTTTTCACATACTTAGTATTTTATTAATTCTTGTTTAAATAGAGTACTGTACAAGAAACTAATAATTATCTTGAAATTGTTTTATATGGAAATATATTTAGAAAAGTGGTTTTTGAGCCACTATCCTGTTCTTGGTAAGCTTTTTGTGTAAAAAAAAAAAAATAGTTAATTCTTGAGTGTGCAAGTCCGTTTGCAAAGAATTTCAATTATTTAACATTAGAGCACATCATAATTGTAGACATTCTAAGCATCTGTCAGTGTAGTCTACTAATTGCACAAGGAAGGCATGTTAGCCCTCCAGATTGAAAATGTATGTGACTTTTTGGAGAACTGAAGTTAGATTCACAACCATTCGAAATGTTGGCAGCTGATCACCTTTACTTCTAATAAAATTAATGTGTAAGTAAGGTTAATCTTCTTTCATAATGCCTTATGACAAGCGGGTGCTGCTTCATGAAACTTCATTGTATAGCCCATTTTATGTATGTATCATTACATTGTTGCTGTCATTTAATGAGTGCATTGTTACTCTTTTTAAGTTGGCCTTAGGTATATGTTATTGTGGCATGCAGAGGGTTATGATTTTAAATATTAGGATTTTTAGAGCATATAACATTAGCTATTTTATGGATTTCAAAAGTCTCAAAACAGTTATAGATTAAAACTGTTATCTTTTACATTTCCAAACCATATGCATAAAATAGAATAAATGCAGTGTAGAAGATAAACATGTCAACCAAAATTAATGGTTTAAGGGTATTTTATTTTAGATCCTGTAGTAATCAGGAGGAAGTGGGAGGATCATTTTATACATGAGTTCATTAAGGTCAGAGCTGTGATAATGTCTTGTGTTTTGCAGTTTTAAGTCTTCCATTCATTTTGGGGTTAGTCTGCAAGTCAAAGAAAGTCTTGTTACCTTAAATTATATTAAAAACTTCATTTAAAATCCTTTAAAATTTACAGTTTTCAAAAAATTTCTTTGGAAATTATTAATTGCTTTGAAACAAATTAATCTCTGAAACTTAGGAAAAATATTTGTTTTAGAAATCTAACATGAGCACAATCTATGTGTTACGCACTTAGTTTTTATACTGTATATGTGGTAAATAAATGTGCTACATTTTCCAGCAAAATGTATCACAAATTAATGCCTTCTGAATTTCAAAATGCTTCTCAGAAATAAAACATTGTACAACTCTAAGAAACATACAAAATACAGCTAAATCTTGATACATTTCACAATATGAAGCTGAAACTTCATAACTATCTTTTCCTTACATCTTTTTTCCAAGTCAAAAAGTCTATTAAATTTTTCAGTTGTCCTGACTTTTGTGAAAAAGGTTATGGCAATACTTTTCTTAACTTCATTTTGTTGGATCGTGTTTGTTCTTGGGAGGACTCACAAGCAAAATCTAAAAGGCAGATTTTTGTTAACTCTTTGTAAATGGTTGGAAAAGACCATTACACTCAACCAAAAACTGAATTTGGATCTGGCTATAGAAATTATTTTGCTATGCTGTGAAACTCAGTTCCCAGACATCCTTGAGAACTTTCAAAAATTATAAATTTGTCACCTATAGGTCAGTGATCAATATAGTGTTTTGTATGTGGAAGTTAACCTTAATTCATCAATTTAAAGTGTATTTTTAAAAACCACAAATGAGACTTGGATGTTTTGGCTCCCCGGCCGAAACTTATGGCCACAAATGAATTTTATCTACCCAATCTCTTTAGATTTGGCTCGTTGCCTGATCATATGAAATTTCACTATTTTCCAAGGAAATATATAGGAAGTAATTATGGAACTGAGACTAGTTTTATATAAAATTGTTTATTTACTGTTAATGTATTAACATTTTTATTGAAATGCAATGGAATATGTGCCAAAACGTGAAAACCTTATGTAAAGAAAGGCATCAATTGTCATTTCGGGAAAGGTACACATTTTTTGATGATTCTGAGTAATAGGTGTTATCACTACCAGAACCACACACTTCTTCAACCAACTTCTTTTGGTATATTCAACTACGACTTTCTAAGTATGGGACTACTTTCATGTCTAGTTATACACTATAGCCCAGTTAATTGCCCCCTAAGTCAGGTTGTAGAATTTGCAAGAAACAATACAGTACAGTTACAGTACAGTAACTTTTGTGGTTAGCTTTATAAATTTAGGGTGCTTATAAAACTATATAAATAACCTATAGGAATAATCATCTGAATTCATAAAAGCAGAGAATAAAAAAACTAAATGTTTTTCTTTAATCTGTTGTTTCTTAAGCAATAAACTGAAAGAACTTTATTTCCATAAAAGGTTTTATTTTCTGTTTTATCTGCCTTAGAAATCATAGACACAAAAGAGTCCAGGAACCATGGATATAAAGGATGTCCGGGGTTTATAAATATTACTTTAATTGAAGTAATCACATCAGTTAATGGAGAAATCAAAATATACCCTTTTCTCTAGATTAACAAGACACTTCTGAGTATGAAAACTAAACTAAAAGGCTCATCGTAATATTTAGTCTGGGTTGTGGGTAACTTGAGTAATGTCTTCTAACAACTTTTAGAAAAGCATATTTCTTTATTCATTGAAATTTCTTCGTTCAATCTATCCCATACTAATGTGCCACATTTTATAAATGTAATGACTTTGCTCAGCTATATTATATACTCAAATGTAATCTAAATTTAAACTGATTCTTTAAGAAAAAATGTGTTGTATAATATTGTGAACTGTTTAGCTTTACTGAAATATTTAAGAGAAAGTGCCTCATTGCTAAAGTGCATTTCTGTTTTAGATTTACTGCATAAAGTTTGAGTTATCTGTACCTGTCTCTTATGAATGGTTTCGTATCTAAATAGGCTCTTGTAAATTAGAGTAACCTTTTTCTTGAAGGATTTACATAAGAATATAGATATCACCAAAGACATTTTACTGTTAATTAATAACCATGTTGGAGAGACAGTTTTAACAGTTGGAGGTTAGAAATGTTTAGATTGCAATTTCATTTTATATAGTTAGGCAATAACCTTGATTAATTTCTAAAATATCACCAAAGAAAGGCTTTAAACTGAATTTCTTGGTGAGATCAGTCAAATACAGGTTTTTCTTGCAATAATCAGAGCACACTTTCTTTCAAATATGTTGTTTTCCAGCACCATCTGACAGATCTTAGGAAATCCTAAAAAGTGAGGAAGAGGTAAACATTACAAATAGCCTCCCTGTGGATGAAAAGTGAGAGAAATACAGATTTTGAAAAGAAAATTGAGATTTTTAAATTTTAATTTGAGAAGCGTTTTATTTCATGGAGGCAGTGTAAACTAAAATTAAGCTTTATTTAGCTCCTAGATTCTTCGTAATATGAGAAATTTTATTAAAGACAGACTTTGGTAAATGTACTGACATGCTTACTTGTGTAGAAAAGAGTACTTTCTGTTGGACTTGTATAAGTGTTTTTTCTATATTCAGAAACAAAATTTTCGTAAGGGCCTGTGGTCCCCTCCCCCCACAAAAAGTAACTGTCTTCTCAGCAATTGGTTTATTGTTATTAGAATTTAGCCATACAACCAAATTTGGTGAAATGCGATCACAGAACAAGCTTTGTACATCAAAAGGAAGTTCACTACCCTCCTTATACCATTTCTTCTTGGGAATGTACGCTATGGGCCACCTTAAAACTCATATTTAAAGTCTTTCTGACAGGTCACTAGGTAAATCTCCTTGGGTAGAATAAAAATGGGTGCACGCTCTATTCATTACATGCTCTGGCTGGTTTATCGTAAGGAATTGTCCAGCAAGCTAAGCTTTATACCAGTAAGATGTTGGTTGTAGGAACTTCAAAAATGAGTTTGCCAAAACTTTAATTTCTGGATTATAAATACAAAAACTTGAAATGTCATTATTTTAAGATGTATATTCCTATATTTTGGGGAACAAGAGGAACATGTCTGCTAAAATCAAAAAATATTAAATACACTAGAGACTCAAACCCTTTCAAGGCACAAAATAACCAAGTGTTTCTGGATTTACTTGATAAACCTAGGTCAGTAATATTTTGATGGAAAACATCAGATTGAAGGTTTATTAAAATGTACTTAAATATACAAAATTTCATAGTTTTGTTTTTCTTGCAGTGGTGTTTTTCCACTAATTTCAAAGTGATTCTCTTTCTAGTTTAATAGTTATCACAAATGTGTTTACTTGCTGTCATACTTTCAAATAAGAATGAAAATGCTTGAGCATTTCCTTTTCAGAAAGTAGTAAAATTAAAAACTTATTTTAGATGCTCATTCAAATGTGTCTGTATCCTCGTTATGCCCCTTTTTCTATGACTCAAAACTGATTTTTCAGAGATGCTTTTTAATTACTTTTAATCTAGAATCAGGTGAAACATATATGTCAAATACCGGGTTTAGTTTTCTTCCATCTTATAGAGCTTCGTGCAGTAAGAAACCAATATAGCACAAATGAAGATTAAATGTTTCTGGGTAATGTAGAGACAGTAACCAGATTTATTTATCCATACAGTCCACTGGAGCAGGAGTTCTACACATTAAAAATGTAATGGGATCAGCCTAACATTGTTTGGGGTCAGTTTTCTTTTGCTGTAATTTTTAGAATGGGGATGGGGGCCTAAGTGTCCTTACAAAGCTGTGGTCCACGACGAGAGCGTGGGGGGAGTACCAGTGTTCTGCTGCTTTCCTGCATCTGAGCAACGCAACAGAGAGCATCAGTTTTTAATAGAGTAGCCCTCACAGTAAATTATAGAATATATTGTAAAGTTATGTTGCTAATTTTCCTTTGAAATATAAAATATTTTAAGCTTTTTGTCAAAAGTGGTAACATCTTAATACAAATAAAAACCTTTTTGTGGTTGTAAGATTTAGCTTATAAATCATTCAAATTGAAGTGAAAGAATTACCAGGTCATTGTTAATGACTTAGTCTATTAAGAATATATGTATTTTTGTAAAGGAAAAGCACTTGTAGATATTTAATCAGTACAAGATACGTCTTTTGCAGAAATGCTGCTTAGAGATTCTCTTTAAATATTTTTTATTTTTGTGCTCAAATGTATTTTCTGTTGATCTATGGAATGTTCTGTACAAAGCTGTATGATTGTACTGTTGGGCTAGATACTTTTTTTTTTAAAATCTGGACTTAGCCAAGTATATTTGACCATGTTAAAAATAGTTATCTTTGTTATTAAAAATTCGATTGCATAATTTATTGTTGTTTGTCATCTGTTAATATTAGTTGCAGATTGCAGCCTTCATTAAAAATGTCTCCATTAAGTACTACTCCTGTAGCAAATTGTATTGGAATTTTTGAGATCATAAACATTTTCTAAAGATTATTCAGCTATTTAGGTTAGGATGGTAGACTACTCAAATAATACTTAAGGTGTATATACACACACACACTCTCTCTCTCTCTCTCTCTCTCTCTGAATTGTTTCATTAGATCAATTAAATCCAGCAAATCTTTTGAAAGTATTCAGAACCAAAAGTAGGGCCCAAGTGAATTGAAAGAAAGACTGTTTCCTTCAGCCAGTTAGATACCTTAGCTCTGTTTTAGTAATACCTTCCCTGTACCCTAGCCTCAGGAATTCTAGTTAGGCTAAAGGGAGACATTTAAACCTTCCTAAATTGTGATGGTTTCTATCCCCTGCCCCATTGTTATTTTGGTGCCTAAAGCTTTTTCTTTTGTTAGTGAAACCGCAGAGGTAACTAGAAACCCCAGCACTTGCGGTAGATAGATATGGAAAGTAGCTTTCCTCTGAAGCAGAATGTGGCTTCCTTCTGTATTCCAGCTGCTTTCTTCCAGGCTGCTGCAGAATGCGAAAGAACATGGAAGATTGTGCACAGGAAGTGCTCAAAAATGTAGTACACGTTATTTTAATCACATGTCATTGGCCAAATGTGGCCTCACTTAAGCAAGGCTGGAGAACCTAGTGAAGCCATGTCCCAACAAGGAAAACAGTTTTGTGACCTGCTAATTAGTCTGCCACACCTCCATTTGAGAAAAGGTTTCCCCAGGTCTTTGAAGTGTTTTGTCAACACAGCCCCAGCTCTGATCTTTCCACTAGTTTGGAAGGAGATAGAGGGGTCTTATACTCAGCCTAGGCCTGAGAAGCCCAGGAGTCAGCCTCTGCTTTCTGTGTGGCTGGGGAATTTGCAAGTATTTTGCCGCAAGCCATGTAGAACCCTGCTTGACACTGCAACCCTTGTCATGGAATTTGGGGTGCCAGGATACCCACCCTAGCAATCGAATGGAGAATCATGCCCAGAAAGAATAAATATACAGCAATCACTGTATTCCTCAACTGGGTCCACCCACCCAGTAAAGACCGATACACCAAGACAGCAGGAGTTGCAGTGGAGAAAGTTTAATGTTGCAAGATGCCAGGCAAGGAGATGGGAGTAATTTTTCAAATCCGTCTCCTTTTGAGAATTTGGGGGTTAAGATTTTTAAAGGTGGTTTGGCAAAGAAAGGGCTCAGGAATTGGGTCTGCTGATTGGCTGGGGATGAACTCATAGCGTTGGGAAGCAGAACTGTCTTCTTAGTAAACAGAAGTTCCTGGGTAGGGCATCGTGGCACTTATGCAGGACTTGTTAGATGGATTCCCATGCATGGCCACCCTGAATGCAAAGTCCAGAAGATACCTCAAAGACCAGTCTTAGGTTTTACAATAGCGACGTTATCTATAGAAGTGGTTGTAGAAGTCACAGATCTTGCCTCTGTCAAGGATATTGGGCATTTAAGCAGTAAGCAGTTATAGCAGTAGGGAAGTTGGGGAAAAAAAGGCTGGTTAACTTTTAGCTATTTCTATACCTGTATAGAAATCATACTTTTATCACTATTCCTGCCATATGGCCTTACGTTATTTTAATATTGCCAGTTTCACCACTACCAATTGAAAACACTAAAGCCCTGTTTTTCTCCTTAAAAAGCCCTGCTCCTACAAACCATGCTCCTCAGGAATTCCCTGTTCCTCCTTAAAAAACAATGCTCCTGCTAAGGAAGCCCCATGCTCCAAAGAACCTTTGGTCCTCCTAGGAAGCCCTGCTCCTCCTACAAAGACCTGTTCCTATTTACAGCGCCCTGCTTATGCTTACGAAGTTCCTCTCATTGAACAAACCTGCTCCTACAAGCTCTGCTCCTCCTAGGAAGCCCTGCAACACCTTTGAAGCTCCCCTGATCCTTACACAGCCCCACTGCTCCTCCCACAAGGTCCTACTGCTACAAAGTCCTGCTCTTCCTACAAAGCTTGCACATCCTCACGAAACCGTATTCCTCCTTACG